CCACTGCTAAATATTTCAAACCTGATTTGATTGTGGTTCATGACAGCTAATGTTTCTCAGCTCTTGAGCCTGCCGACAGGCAAATGCACTTTATTTCACCCCCACCCTCAAATATGGCTCACCCCAAAGAAAAAGGAAAGAACAGTTTCATTCTTCAGGGATCCCAGATTGTTGTATTATTTAAGTAACGTGATCGCCTGAGAGCCTTGGGTACAGACACCCTGATTCTTAGGAGAATTTCCAAAATTCTGTCACAATGAGGCACTATTGGGAGCTTTGTCAGGTTTGGGGGAAGGTTTGAATTGTTCTACATTATCCTGTTAAGAGTTAGGAACAGAGGGACTAGTCTTAGCCATTGATTGACTCCCCTTCCTTCAAGTCTGTAAGCAATTGGTAAAAAACACCCAGTGGACGCAGCTCCTGGCCCCAGTTATTTGGCGAACGGTATTGGTTTTGGGGGCAACTGGCAAGTTCTCTGGGTATCGCATTTGGGGAGTGCATGCAGCCAGGGTGAGTGCAGACTGTATGATGGTGCCACCTGTGTGCTTGCTTCTGCCCGGTGCTCCTTTCACATACCCGTTTCCAGGTTGTTCATAAAATTGTTGCAAATCTCCACGGGGCTGCCACTTGGCACGCACACCTCCTCTGGGAGCAGGTTTCACCTAAGTCGCGAATCTCGCAGTCACCTTCGCCAACATGATACGTAGAAGGTGTGTTAAGACAACCGTTCGCATTTGTGGTAAGCAAAACCACCCTGACTGAAGGGGAACTTTCTGGAGCTGCAGTATCATCTCCTCAAAAACCTTAGCTGCCCCCAAGAACCCTTCCCTCTTAGAATATATGTAGCTGCTGAAATTCTTACACCTGAGGGCTCTGTCCTTAGCCAGGAGACATGAATGAGCAGGGCTGGGTTTGGCCCGAGTGCTAGTCAGTGCTGTCTGGGAGAAGCCATTGTCAAAAGGAGGTAGTGATGGAAATAGATTTTTTTTTTTAAAGACCTTCAGCCAATGGAGGCTGAAGTTTTATGTGGAGTTTGAAGGCAGAAGAGATACCAGGAAGACTTCACAGTTATTCAAGATTTGCTTGTGTTTTCCTAGCCGTTTAACATGAAAATACATTCACATAGGAGGGGTGCCTTGGTTTGAGGGCCACTGTGGGGTGTATCCATCCAAGTCGCCTTCTACTGTAGCGGGTTTAGAAGCACCTTCTCTGAAGTCTTCTGAAAAGCAGACGTTCTGTCTGGGTTGCGCTGGGCCTGCTGCCCCCTGGCAGGAACAGGGGTGGGGGGGTGGCGCAGGGAGCAGAGATGACCTCCTCACCCAGGTCCTGGCTCTGCCCTTGAGAAAACATTCCTGGGGTGTTCTGCTTGGTTCTGAAATACCGCTAGACTCTTGGAGAATAGATGGTTTGGATTTGTCTGTTGCAGCCTTAAACATGGCAAAGTGGCTGCTGGGTGTCTTAGGGAAGGGCAGCAACTTCGTCATCGGAGGGAAAGACAGGATTTTCCAGATAAAACCAGATCGTCGGCACTTCAAGTCTTCACTTGTTCCCACCATCTGCCAGTAGCTGGTATTATATATATATTTAAAACATCGACGCCTGTAATGACCCCGGCCCTTTGCCACTGAGCTCACGGGTGGAAAATGCAATCTGTGATCTGTGAGAAACTGCCACCCCCTCCCCCCAACCCCGTGCTCCGTCAATGCGTGGGTGTCAAATACACATTCCTAAAGGGAATACAGGCTGGATAACCAGTGCCAGCAGCGCGGAGTGTGGATACGCTCTGTTAAAACGCTGGATGCCATCGCGCCCCTGGTCCCCATGTGGTTCCAGTGCAGGGGGACGAGGCGAGGCCTGGGTCTTAGTGAGTGGGCTTTCTTTAGGCTTTCGTAACCAATCAAACAGACCCCGCCTGCAAAGCATTGTGGGTCTGAGCTGTCCAGACAGATTCGTACTTTGTATCTCTGTTTTTTAATCATTTTTCTGGCTTTATTGGTATTCAGAGCTCACAGTTTTCTGGTTACTGTCAGCCTGGGCTTTCATCCATTTTAAAGAGCTATTTTTCCTCTTGCTGTTGATGATGATGGTATAAAGACAGATGGTGTAACTGCTTATGAATGTCCTATTTTATTTCCCCAGGACCAGACAGTTCACTTGAAGACGTATATTATTTCCACATGCTCAGGTTGGGCGGCCCAGACGGTGTCTGCTTCCTGCAGCTAGCTGCCCTTCCAGGCCTTGCCATGCAGAGGGCGACACCTGTAGGTCATAGGTGGAACTGCAGCGAAGTGCCTGCTCAGCCGAATGGGACCTGGTTTTCCGTTGGGGGTGACACTGGTCCTCTTGCAAAGGAAGCTGTTTCCTAATAACTTCTTCTTCCAGGGGTTTCTTAATCATTTATTCTTCCACCAAGCATATAACAGCCTGTTAGTGAATGAGTAGGAGCTGAAAAAGAAGAGGATTTGATTTTTAAATCTTAAAAAAAAAAGGTGGAGGGAGGGAAAGAGAAACAAAATAAGTTCCTGAATTAACCTCTGCCCTCCAGCTTCCCAGTGGAATTTAGCTGCCTTCACTTTTCTCCTTGTAGTAGGGTAGGGAGGGAAGAAAGCAAAGAACCGAGGCTTAGAGAATGAGGGCTCCAGGAGTATTCACAAAGCACTGTGCGGTTTCCTTGTTCAGTGCATCACCGATGTGCTTATTCTTCACACTCTCTGTCTTCTGAATAAGATGTGTTTGGAGAGGCTAAAGAAGTGGGGTCAGTGCCAGAGTGACCATGAGTTCTTAACTCTCTGCTTGGATGGCTGCAGCCCACATGATGGTGAGGAGAAGGGTGCTGGCCTTTGGAGGTGCCTCCCAGTGGGCAAATTCGTTCCTTCTTTTGTAGAGAAGCACTTCAGGCACTGTTCACCACATCAGGGTTTTGTCTATTTGCTAGATGTCAGGTTGTCTACATCAAAGGTGAAGTGTGTGTGTGATGGAGAGGAGGGGCCATTCAGCCATCTCTTCATAATCAAATCAAATTTAATGTCTACATTACTAGACATAGTTTGTATCACAGCATGTACTGGGACAAATGAGTATATTTTAAGAACCTTAGCTCCTTTGGGTAGACCCAATTTAAGATTGATTGACTGAATTCTAGTATCACCATTCAAAGATGAATTTTATAATCACAGTGTTGAACAGTTTTATCAAAAGTGTAAAAATGTGCATTGGACATTCTGCCCTGACACAATTAAGATTATGCATCTATAATACTGTGTAATTTACGTGTTATTCTCTAATAATGCTTGTATGTAAATTTTTTTCTCCTACACGATGTACAGTATTAATATGGCACTGTATATCAGATTGACTTCAAACCATGGTTGCCTGATTTTTCTCTGTTTGAACTAAGTGTGGGTATGGGGAGACTTGATGTTACCTTGCCTATGCAGTATGACCAAAGGAGACATGGAAATTACATAAGGAGGCCTATTATTTGCAGATGAAAATAAGCACTATCTTATTTCATTTGTGTTCCTCATGACTGCCTCATAAATGCCCTTATGGTGGTAATGAAGAAAGAATGTTCCCTGACTCCTCGTTCAGTTTTCCAGTCCTCGGACTTCCATTGTCTTTTTGGGAAGAATTAGGAAAATCTGACTCTAAACAGATACTTTCTTCCTCAAGTGTTTTATAAAGCTTCTGGGGTCAATTTACTTTTAATTCCTTTTACTTTCTTTGTGTGATGAAATTTAGAAGCTATTTTCTGAAGGTTTGGGGAAGGTGACACCTTGAAACATTGAAAAGCAGGGTCATGGCTCCAGGGACCTAGGGTGACATTGGTCTGAGCCCCAAATCCAGTACCTAGTCCCTGTGCACCCAGTCTAGTGCCGACCCCAGTGATTAATGTGGGCAGCCAGGTTCTCATGTCTCTATACCTAGGAAGGTGTGCTCTTCAAAATCTGCTAACAATTTTGTTGTTCACCCACCTCTGTTTGCTTTGCCTGCCTTATTCATTCATTTAGCCTATTCTTTTTTTCTTTTTTCTTTTTAAGTAATGTCTACACCCAGCACGGGCTCGAACTCACGACCTTGAGATCCAGCTGCTCCACAGAGGGAGCCAGTCATGTGTCCCTCGTTTAATCCATTCTTAATGAATGTTTTGGATAATGATCCTGAGGGCCAGGAAAGTAAGAGAGAAATGTCTCGCTTTCTTTGCCTCAGCATTTAGAATATCTCTCTTCTTCCTCCCGACTTGAGTAACCTTGTGTTTGAAATGACCATTCTTCTGTCTCTATCAAAGCATTGTGTGTTGAGCTGGAGAGAATTTCCATGGCTAGTTTTAAACCATTGGTGGGTAAAGAATGGACTGACTTCAAAAGGAAAATATATGATTCTGTTACAATTTTTCCCCCTTTCTCTACGAATCTAGCACCTTGCCACTGATGCCTGGCACACCTACAGATGTTGTTTGTTTTCTAGAACTCTTCACATTAACAAAATCCTCTCAGTGATATTCTGTGACTCTTGAGACTATGAGTGACTTAAAAAAAAAAAAAAACCCTCCTGCCGTGGTCTGGCCTGTGCACTGTGAGGCCTCTGAAGGGTCAGTGGTAGGGTCTAGTCTAGTTCACATCCATAACGCACTGGGGTTGGAGCCAAGCAAGAGCTACCATGTGGTTCCTGTTTTGCATTTTCGGGTGGAAAAGACACATGCAACTTAAGGCATTTAGATGGAGTTATTTCTTCAACAGGATTGAGAGAAATACCTAATGTCCCCATGTCTAGAGCGAGTCATTCTCATGCCAGTGAGTAGGAAAGGGAAGGCCCCACTTGCTTCCCTAGACCTCAGCACATCCGGAGTGCAGTCAGCCTCTCGAGGGCCATAGGGAGAGAGGAGGCACAGTCGTTGGCCTCTGTGTGCTGTGCTTGGTGATTCTTTGGACTAGGAACCAAGAATCCTTCATCTTCTGTCTACTTTTAATCCTTGACATTTTGCTTTTCTTCTGTTTCAGAAGAAGCCATTGAAGATGTTGAAGGGCCCAGTGAAGCGCCTGCTGACCCAGAGGAGCTTGCTAAAGACCAGGAGAGTGGAGGCGAGAAAGACCAGAGCAAGTGGACAGGTAGCGTGTGCGCTGCCCTCAGGGCCCTGACATCTGTCTCTCCTGGAAGAGGGAGGCCGACGGGTCAGGGAGCAGATGCATCCTTAATGTGTCCAGAAAAACTGTGTTGGCTCTGTGCAGTGAGAGAAGGATTTGGGTTTTGCTTTTTTGAATGGTCAGCATCATTCTCCTTCTGTCTGGTTGTATTGAAGAATTTTTACAGCTTTTTCTTTAAATGGCCCAAGAGCCAGCTTGTTTATTGAGCATCCAGGTGTCTGGCTCTGTGCCAGGGGCTTCTGTGTTTTTGAGGTCACATTTCTCCAGTGTTGCTTTGTCCTCGATGTGACTCTTCCTCCATGGAAGGTCCAGTCCCCTAGTCCTCCTGCCCCTAGGCCCAGTGGAAGGCTTTGTCCTGCAGACCTTGACTGAGATCACTCCCAAAACTCTGAGGGGTCAGCAGTGAAGGGTGGGCTCCATCCTGCATTCAGGGGCCTGGATGGGCTCTGCACATTTTGTTTCCTACCTTGTCCCCAGGGCCAGCGCCCACCCCCTGAAATGCACCCAGAGTGGGGCAGGCAGTGAAGCCAGGCAGAAGGACGTGTTACCAAAAGCAGAAGAAGTTGAAGTCGGGAAAGGAAGTGCTATTTCTGGAAAACTTGATGTTGTGAGAAGGGGAACAGGCATCTCTCGTGATGATGGGGTTGCTGTATTGGAGGAAAGAAGAGCGGAGACTGAGAAGAAAAGCTTGGGTGTTTTGAGAAGTGGCAAAGTTGTTTCTGAGAAGACTTCTCAGGACAGATAAGTCTCCCAGAAACCACCACAGTTATTAGAGGAAATGATATGACAGGGAACAGAAATTATTTTATTTGGTCAACCTAATTCTTAAGGCCTTTTGTTATTAATATTGTAATACTTTGTATTTTTTCGAGAAAATATTTACCTTCTGGAGTCTGTATTGGTTGGGCCTTTGTTACTTTTCCAGGCACGGCTGTTCTTAAATCATGTTCAGTGTTGGCCTTCACTATTTAAACAAGATACAGAATCTTGGAGAGAGGCCAGGGAGAGCCATGAAAATGACTGAAAGCTGAGAAATATTGCCTCTGAAAAGAGGCTGAAGAAATTGGGGCTATTCAGTCTGTAAAAGAGAAATTTGAGAGGCAGCTTAACAGCTTCCAAATTTGAAGAGGGAGGGGGCAGAATAGGCGATGTGCCTCTTCAGTGTTTCCTGGGACACAGCAACAGGACCCAGCAGAGTGGGTGAACGGGCACGCTGGGTGGACTTCAGTGTCCATCCTGCTCATCGTCCCCTTTCGAGCCGGACTCTGTGGTGGCCAGGGGCCTGCGCTCCAGAGGCGCTGAGGGAGGGGGCCGAGCACCCTGGGAAGAGTAGCAAGGGCAGACGGGGAGGCAGGGCACGGATGTCTGTTCTCCAGGGCCTCGACTGCAGAGGATTGTCCGGTGTTGCTTTGCACAGACCAAGATCCCAGTTTCTGCTGTGCTGTTCAGGCGAGATGTACACGGACTTTGCAGACAGCAGTTAAACGTACCTGCTCAGAGGTGAACCGGGGAAGAGGATTTCACACGCACGGTTGGAAGGCCCAGTCACCTTCCACACCATCTGTCCTTTGTTCTCACAGTTTGGGTCCCTGGATTCTAATCCTGGCTCTGCCACTTACTAGTTATGTGACCTTAACCTTTATGTGCCTCAGTTTCCTCGCGTGAGATGGAGATTAAAAATAGTGCCTACTTTCCCTAGGATCTCTGTGAGGATTGTTTGAATATGGGAATCTTAGAACACTACCTGGAAAGCAGGAAGCTTTAGATTAGGCAGGTTGTTGTTGTTGTTGTTGTTGTTGTTGTTTTAATAATTTAGATAAATAAGATGAGGAAAGCTAGTACAGTTTTTCTTCAGGTCCTTTCATGTGAATGTGAAACTCTTGCCAGGAAGCATGTGGCTGCTAGGAATTTTGAGAAGCTGAGGGGGAACAACATATGAGAACTTAGGAGGATCGTGCAGACGATATTTGGTGTGTGTTTCCTGCATTCTGTGTGCTACGGACACAGTAAACAACAGAAAGTAACTGCCATGTGCAGGATTCCTGCTGTGCGCCAGGCTGTCCCAAACACTTGGTCTGGGCTTCTCTAATTCTTACGCTGGTTTAGAGCAAGCTTTGTTCAATTAAATGACATTCAGGGTGTTTATAAATTCAGTGGGTGTGTGTCTACACCAAGCTAGTGGACCCGCTAGGCAATGAGGAGCACCGTAAAACTAAACGTGCTTTTTAAAAAAAAATTTTTTTAATGTTTGTTTATTTTTGAGAGAGAGACAGACAGAATCCGAAGCAGGATCCAGGCTCCAAGCTGTCAGCACAGAGCCCGACACAGGGCTCAAACTCATGTGAAGTGTGAGATCACAACCTGAGTCGAAGTCAGACGTTTAACTGACTGAGCCACCCAGGTGCCCCAAAAATGAACATCTTTAATAAGGCCTCACTTTCTCATTCATTCACTTATTCATTCATTCATTCATTCATTCATTCATTCAAGCAGCAGGCTGTGCTTTTTCTCCAAAAGCCAGAGAGGAGAGAGGCAGAGGGAGGGAATGGATGAGTAACTCAGAGGTACACCTTACGAGTTGCAGTAGTAGTAAAGAGGGAAGGGAAAATTCTTCCCTGACTCCTGCAAATGATCCTCTTTTGACCCGAAACATAATTTTGTCTATGTTGTCTGAGTGTGTAATGACAGGCTTTATTAAGGTACTTGAGCCGATTTGATCTTGGAATCAATACAGGTGCCAGTAACCTCTTCTTAGCTTTCTTTGGGATCCTTACTATTTTATATAAAAAAAAAAAATCTGCGTTTGTTCCATTTACTCCCCAAATTGAGCTGTTTCTATCTGATTAAATGTGATGGGGAGTGCTTCCTCCCAGCAAATAAATAAATAGTGATTTCACAATTTGTACTGTTGATTAGTGGTCGCTCACGGTGCAGATTAATAATATTTCAAATGAGCCTGGATAATTGGCATTTTCTCAGCTATTGATTATGTAGTTTCGGGTTTGTGCAGGAATGGATAATCTTTACTAAAAATTTTTAGTGATTTTTTTTTTAATTTTTTTTTTCAACGTTTATTTATTTTTGGGACAGAGAGAGACAGAGCATGAACGGGGGAGGGACAGAGAGAGAGGGAGACACAGAATCGGAAACAGGCTCCAGGCTCTGAGCCATCAGCCCAGAGCCCGACGCGGGGCTCGAACTCACGGACCGCGAGATCGTGACCTGGCTGAGGTCGGACACTTAACCGACTGCGCCACCCAGGCGCCCCATCGTCATTTATTTTTATGGTGGACTAGGACTCTGGATTTCCTTTTTGGTGTCCGTCGGTCACCCTCTTTGGGTTTCTATTACTTAGATGTCAGGTCTTTTACCTCAGTTGGCAACGAAGCAAGCAAGATAGTGACTTGAATCATTGTAGCATCAATCCCACGGTCAGTGGCTGGGTCCCTACCCTGTGCAGGACCCCGAGCAGAATGCCACCGATCGCAAGTGTTCCATGAGATGATAGGTCTTGCTTTCAGGGGACATAGTCCTGAACAGCCAGGGCTTTTAGGAACAGCCATAGTCATCAGAACAGTGTTCCTGTAGATCAGTGCTGTCCCTTGGAACTTCCTGGGCTGATAAAAATGTTCAGTGTCTACACTGTACAATGCAAAAGTCACTAGCCACTGTGGCTGTTAAGCACTTGCATTGTGGCTAGTGCCTGTGAGGAACCAAATTTTAAATTGTGTTTAATTGTAATGAATCGAAATGTGGCTCTTTAAATATGGACAGTGCAGCCACAGAAACTCAAAAGGAGTTAAAACTCACCCTGAAAGTACACATCACAGGTACACTGAGCTTTTAAGTGTGTGCCAGGCACTGTTCTGGTGTGTCACAACTATCCTTTCCAGCACGCGTGCCGGGAGTGATGCACAAGTGCTGCTGATGTCTGCAGCCCTTCAGTTAGCCAGGTGGGGCGGGGGCTCCTGAGGCCAGGGTCAGTGGCAGCTTCATCTGTTGATACTAGTTTGCCATCATTTTCTGTGTGCACCACGATGGGAAAGAGACTTGGGAAGCCCTACACATGTTTACACATGTTATTTGGTTCCCACCCTTCACTCTGAGATGCTGTAAGTGACCCCGCCCTATCTATCTCCCCCCGCCACTGTGCAAGGAAGTCTCTCTCCCCCCTGCCACTGTGCAGGGAAGGAAACTGAGTCTGGGAGAGCTGAGCTCATGCGGGTTGCCAAGAGGCCCACAGAGAGGTTCAGATTTGTAGACTGGCCCTGCTGTTTAGGGCAGAGCCCGAGTTCATTTTTTTTTTAAGTTTATTTATTTTGAGAGACTGAGAGAGAGAGAGAGAGAGAGAGAGAGAGAGAGAGAGAGAGAGAGTGTGTGTGTGCATGCGCGCGCACGCGCGCGCGCACACATGAGTGGGGGAGGGGCAGAAAGCAAGGGAGACAGAGAATCTCAAGCAGGCTCCATGTTATCAGTGCAGAGCCTGATGCAGGGCTCTATCCCACGAAACTTGAGATGATAACCTGAGCCAAAATCAAGATTTGGACGCTTAACCAACTGAGCCACCCATGTGCCCCAGAGCCTGAGTTCCTACCAGTACTCTGTCCCACCTCTCTAAGAATGGGATTTTTCTGTGTCATCATTTGATCTTGCTTCCATCTCCATTCTGAGTTTGGAGAGTGACATTCTCCTAAAGTTGTACAGCAGTAACGGTAACATGAGAGCCACCTGTATGTGCAAAATGAGTGGGATTGTTCACCATGAATGTGGCTCCTGGTCAGTCCACATCTTAGTCTAAAAGCAGGTTGGTGAAGTGGAAAGAACTCTCTAGATTTGGAGTCAGGAAGCCCAGCACTCAGCAAATGACCTTGGCCTCTTGGAACCTTGGGTATCTCATTTGTAAAACATGGGTGGGTGACACCCACCACCACACCTGG